ACATTAAATAAAGCAGCTCTATTAAATTGTTCTTGACCATGTTGATTAATAATAAATATTGTATAATCAAGTTGTTGTTGTTTAAGAAATGGATGTATATTATCAAGAAATAATTTTAAATGTGATTCACGATTTCTATAACATATTATTATAGCTAAACGTTGTTCAGTTTGACAAGTTTTTGGAAACCAATGTCCACCAATATATAAATCATTACCATGATGTTTTTCAATAATATCAAATGAATATATTTTATTACTAATTGTTACTTTATAAAATGATGAATTATTATTTGATATTGAAAAATTACATATAGGTAATGAATTATATATATTTGGATCTGGTTTTGTAAAATTAGTTGAAATTAATAATGAATTATCAATAAATGGATTTAATTCTTTTTGTAGAGATGTATTATTATATAATGTGAAATTTTTTATATCTTGTATGATGATTTTTTCAATATCTGACTTTGATTCATATAATATTATCGATGGAAAATTTGTTAGTCTTGTTTTATTTTCTTTTATTTGTAATGTAACAATATAATAAAGTGCTTGAACAAAAACAATTGAAAAAATAAATAAAAGTATAGTACGACGATTTTGAAACATTGAAAAAGTTGATTATTAATTATATGATGCATATATACGATAAATTATTTCATTCATTATATAAAAAAACGATGATAATCTAGAATTAAAATAAAAATTAGAACATTTTTGTAATTTGACTATTTGAAAAGCATTTGCGATAGAAGAACGGAGGAAAAAAACATTTTTTTTTGTAAAATCTGTTGGCAAACATGCTTTTTGAAAGGAATGAAGAAAAAAAAAACCTATAGATTTGTTTTTATAAACTATTCATTAAGAAAAAAAAGAAGTATTCGAGGACATTGAAATTCTGAAAATAGCCTACACGAAGAAAACAAAAAAAATTCTAACATAGCATAATTTCTGTTTAATTAATTAACAGATCTGAAATCTATGTCATTTTGCTTGCCATACTCATAGTATGGTAAACGATAGACGCTTTGATAAATACTTGCATGAAAACTGATCAAGTTTTGACGTTGTACAGTGTATATTTGTTCTTCTCTATATTCCAGATTTCTTTTCATCAATGTGATTACTTTTTTTTTTTCTTTCGTATGCAACAGAACGACAGATTCTTTACAGAAATAAAAGAAAAAAAAAGCATTTTATTACCAAAGAAAAACTTCTATATTAAGAATAATAATAATTATTATTTAAAAGAGCAAAAATAATAATAAAATCAAATGATTTAGAATTTCTATAAAACTTTTATACATTCGTCTTTTGTTTTTTTTGTATTACAATTCTTTTTTCATCTTAATAAAAGAATACTTTTTCTTTTTAGAAGCAAAATGCATTTGCAGCAACATATTTTCTTGTGTATGATGAGTAGAATCAAAGTATTCGTGAGTTTATACTTATCAAAAAAAAACAAGTAAAATTAGTAAAGTGTATTCGATATTATAGTTAAATTTTAATACAAAAAAAAAATGAATATGTTTGATTTTAACAGACTATAATTGTATAAGCTAATAATTTTTAACTATACGTTTAAACTGACTTGATTTGTCTATTCTCGATAATATTTTATTTTTAATATTCTAAGGCCCCGAACAGACTGAAAAAAATAAAATGAATTAAGCAACGTGATTAGTCTATTTCGATTTAAATCGACGATTTATACGTTAATTCAGTTTTAATTTACTTTGAATTAGTCGGTCTGTTCGGAGCCTAATACAAAGAAATCAAAGTATTTGACAAGAAAAATCTTATTGAAACAAAAAAAAGAAAACGACTTTCTACTTATGTCAATAATTTTCAATCTTATGTTTTTATATCAATTCAATCTACAATAATATTTTTGATTTTTAAAGTTTAATTAATTTTGTAGTGATTAGGAGAGAAAGTTAATTCAAAAAATGATGTACTTTATAATCCATTCAAGAGAATAGTTCAACTCTGCTTTTTTTTTGTTTTATCATAGAGTATATTCTTTCTTTGACATGTGTATGCCTTAAATTACATATTACCTTACTTACTTGTGTCCTTCAAATATCGACAATATTCGAGTCTTAACACTAACCTTCATTTTATTTATATCTAATGTATATATAAACAGAATTTTTTTATCTCAAGTTCCATCGGAATTGTTGAGGTAAAGGTAATAAGTTCGATTATCCCGTTATTTTATCGAACGCTATCCTTAGATTAATCTTTCATTGTCACCCTAACCCACACTCTCATAGATTCATTCAATTATGATTAACTATATTTTTTTTACATTACATTATTTTGAGTGTGTAGTAAACTTATTTCTCTGTTGATAGTTTGAGGAAAAAAAAAGACGAATGTTTTTATTTTGAAGATAAGAGAAATTCTTCATTTTAGTATTAGACTTTATTTCGTCAAAATTTGTTTTTGCCAAAATGATAAACATATTGAAAATTTTCACATAATTAAATTTATTTTGTTGTTTGTGGAAGTGAATGAATGTGAATTTTATGAAAAGTGAAAAATTTTCTTTTAACTAAATGAGAAATACAAAAATTAATTCTTTCCTACGGAGAATAAACTTATTCATATATGTTTTTTGGTTTCGAAAGAAAAGATTTTTCTGTACAATAGAAAATCTATTTGATCAATGAACAAATTTTTCAGAAGGTCAAAAGATTAATCTAATAAAAGAATAAGTTTTAATAAACCTATAAATGATTACAACTATTAAAACATTTTTCTATTAGTCATATGCTTTATCAGTTACTCAATTTACTGTATTTATCATCTCTTAACTGTTTGTCCTTAAATATTGACAAAAAAAAAATGTGCAACGCAGTGTCTTTATTTTTTCTAGATTAGTTAAGCATGAACTGATATTTACCAAAAGAAATAAAAACTAAAATTTTGAAGAATTTACGTTAATTTCTTTTGATAAGAAATGTTTATGCTTTTAGTTTATTTTCAAAAACAAAGTTCATCAAATCAATTCACATTATAATGATAATCATTATATTCATTTAATGTATCGATATTAAATAAAAATATAAGATTCAATCTAAAGAATATTTCAAAATTTTGTACATAGAATAAAACATAAATAGTTCTGCAGAATATCAAATCATTCTAAATCAACATTGCCTTATAAAGTCAATTGATGCTACACTTAATATAATTACGATGAAACTTTTTTTGTTATTCAACTCATTGATTATTCTATTTCAAGTTTTCAATGAATATCATATTCTTCTAATGAAAATAAATAATAATCATCGAAAGCTTGAGAAAAAAAAATTTTCATTGCATTTTTTTTTATTACTACTTAAATTATGATTCGTTCGAAAGTCGTTGTCAAAATATATTGACGTAACACTATTTCAAAAACATACCTTTGTTACTTATTTTTCATCAGACAATAGCAATAAAAAAAAAATAAGTGTAGTAACTTTACTATGTAAATGCGCATCATCAATGAAATTTAACGTCAGATATTGGCATGTTAGAGGACATGAACAAATAATCAACTATGTTATACAATTGAAATTTTATAACCGACAAGATTAAAATACGATCTTCTTGATAAGATTTCTACCAATGAGAATGCTCATTTCTGAAGAACATGTTCTTCAAAAAGAAAAAAATGATCGTGATTGTATAAAATATTTTATTGATGTTTTTTAGAATCAAATTATCAGTCTAGTCTAATGAATAACTATGAAATCTATTTCAACTCATAGGTAGAACTCATAGTGAAGGTAAAAATTCAACCAAGCTTCGTATCATTAGGTCTTTCTTTTCAAGTTATGATCATCTGTTGGTAAGATATTGTAGAATTTCACATCGAAACTTCTTATTGAGATTTTTATCGTGTTATTCTGAAATCAGCTGAATGTCTAGTAAAATGATCATAATTCGAGAAGAAAGATTTTTATGGCATGAATCCTTTTTGAATTTCTATCTACCCTATAAGTTCTATCTATTAGCTTAGATAGAGATTATCGATCGAATGGATTAGGAGACATGTGACAGAAAACAATATCTAAAAATTGTTGGCTATAGATAATAAGATTAAAATAACTTCGAAAATCTTGATCTGTTTTAAAGTTATTCATTTTCTTTTCTTTTTGAGACTCTTTATCCATTTGATTGATTTGTTTTTCCAATATGTTTCTTTGTATCTACAAAGACAATAATTGGCTTGTCATACAGTTTGACAGATTGTAAGGTGCTCCAAATTCAAACGTCGAGCACTATTTTATTTTTCGCTCAAATATACCTCGTTCGACGCAGAATTTTGCGCTGATTACGAATACGTTCTTTAAAAAAATTTTAGTGCGCGTTTTCACTGAGAAAAAATAAAAAAATTAGGCGACTCCATTTTTTCCAAAAAATCGCAACAGTCCGAAAAACATGCGATATCTCGACTCCACAACGTCGTGGAACCTTCGGAATGTGTTTTTCGGAATCATCGTGAAAAACTGCATATCATAGACTATCTTTGAAGGTTCAGCAGATGTAAAAAGTGCTCCCCCTCCTCGTCATACTTTAAAGGTCTCAAATTAGGTATTCTCCGCTTGCAAGCCTATCAGCGCCATCAGGTCGAGAGATAGACGCTTCATTCTTACGCCATTAGAACCGCCATCAAGCGTAGAACAAAGTTATAAATTCACTTTTTTGAATTTCTTTTTTTTTTGCTGAAACTTTTCTTTTTTTTAAAAACGAACCCTTTTCACCTATAATCGGCCAAGTGATTTTTTTCTTAGTTTCTTATTTTTCAACAGAATTCACTCAAATTAGCAGAGTATACATAAAAAAGCATTCTGAATCCAATGGCAAGATTTCCAGGATCTACAGAGGGTTTCTAGAAGGTTTTTGGAAAACTTTCAGGATTGATTATTCCAATATTTCAAAAATGTTAAAGAAAAAACAGAAACAACAACAAATATGAAAATAGAAATCTACTTGTCCAAATTAGTGTTCACGATTTTTCGATGATAAATAATATTGTCCTTGCATAAACTTGAAAAAAACATTTGCAATACTTGTTTATAATCTTTACCATCATTGTATGCCATTAATGTTTTCCAGAATCTTCTACATAATTTTAAATATATTTGACGATCTTCAAAATTTTTTCTTGCTTCACCAATTAATGATACCATCTTGTTGAATGTTTGATCATTGTGCTTGCGAACGAATTGTTTCATATGACACCAATAACCTTCAATAGGATTTAATTCACAATGATATTTTGGCACATATAACACTTGAATTCCATATTGCATCCCTAATTTTTCTAATTTTGTAACATTTTGGAATGCTGGATGTTGGCTAACTAATTCTTTTAATTGTTGAAGTTTGCAATTTAATGGTACCTTCAATCCCAAGTTCTGTGCAATATTGAGTAATCCACGTGATTTTCCTTTGTTCTCACCATCTGTAAAATAACAATTGATTGTTTTTTGTTGATTTGTAGCTGGATCTAAATATTCAATTGATTGAACTGGACACCGAGTACCTGGTTTCATACCAAAATCATCAACATTAAATTCCTTGCTAGTATGAGTTCTTGCATTATCCACCAACACTTCAATAGTATGCATTTTGTATTCTTCTTTGAACTGTAACATTTGAAATAATCGTTCAAATTGTTCTAAAATCAATTCGTTGTCCATATATAAATCACTTCCAATATTTATTGCTGCTGATGCCGAAAATTTTTCATAAATAATATCTGCTTCTTCCAATAATTTTGGATATCGTTGAGTTGCTTGATTCCATTCAGCTGGACTTAATCGAAAATATGGTGACGATGGATGGATGACCAAAAAATCGGAAATCATGTAGCTTCGACCACGGCCTTTACTAAAAAAGGGTGCCGAATCATCGATCACCCATCTACGTGCACCAACCTCTCCACTACGAAAAGTAGATTCATCTTGACCTGAAAAATTTTGAAAAAAAGAAGAGCAAAAATATAAATGAAAGAAAAAGTTGACGAAGAAAAAACAAGGTTTTTTTTACTTACAAATCAAAATTCTGGGCTTTGGTACTGTTGGCTGGATCCACTTTGGTACTTCCTCATCATTCAATAAATAAAATTCATTTTTGTTGGATAAAAAATGACCAATAAATTCTTTTCGATGTTGTTGGACGTCTGGTCTTTCGTGGCCTTCAAAATACGGACGATTTTTGTTGGTTTCATTTCTTCCTCCCCATCGTCTAATATCGATTCTGCACATTTCAATTGATCTAATTAATTGTTGTGTTGTTTTTTGTAATCCATTAATTTCATAAAAACGATCGTCCAGAAATTTGGCTAACGATTCGACGGTAAAACTGCTAGCTTTTTTGGAACATTCCTCAACAACAAATGCCCTTGCTTCCAACTCCAATTCAGGATAGACGTCAAAAAAAACTCTGTATTCTTTGTCCACCTCGATGTTCACCTATAAACTCTTCAAAATCACCATTCAAATATAAATCGGCGTACTTATGTGCAGTTTCACATTTCGTTGATCCAGTTGTATCCAAAATCTCATCTGTTTCTCTCCAGCTGTATCCAAGATGGCGTAACAACATATAAATCATTGTTGATAAGTATTTTCGGTTTCCTTCTTGTGTGCATAATGTGAATAAATCGCCGATATCGGATAAAATTTTCTTTTCCGTAAATTTAATTGGTTCTGAACTTGAATAATCTTCTTCTTCACTTGTTGATGAATCTGGTGGTTGTGTTGTTGTGGCTTGAAAATTTTCAGTTGACCATCTCTTAATCGAAACAGCTTTTGAGTGTGCTTTTCTTTTGGTTGGCGGTGCCATTTCACAAGAATTGACGAAATTGTTATGAATTATAAAGTTAGAACATAATTAAAAAGAGAAAAGTTATCTAAATGAGCATCGCTCCTGTATATTTATACACTTTTTTCTCTCACAGCAAGCGGCTAGACGAACCAGACAAAGACGGCGTTGTATAAGAATGAAGCAATTACACTGGTCAATATCAGCAAGTAATAGCATAGCGCAAGGTTTCACGCTTCTACAGGTTACTGTACACGCTTGTATTCGAATCCGTCTTCTTTTGCCGTTAGAAACCGCGCGAAGTTTTCCAAAAACCTTCTAGAAACCCCCTGTAGATCCTGGAAATCTTGCCATTGGATTCAGAATGCTTTTTTATGTATACTCTGCTAATTTGAGTGAATTCTGTTGAAAAATAAGAAACTAAGAAAAAAATCACTTGGCCGATTATAGGTGAAAAGGGTTCGTTTTTAAAAAAAAGAAAAGTTTCAGCAAAAAAAAAAGAAATTCAAAAAAGTGAATTTATAACTTTGTTCTACGCTTGATGGCGGTTCTAATGGCGTAAGAATGAAGGGTCTATCTCTCGACCTGATGGCGCTGATAGGCTTGCAAGCGGAGAATACCTAATTTGAGACCTTTAAAGTATGACGAGGAGGGGAGAGCACTTTTTACATCTGCTGAACCTTCAAAGATAGTCTATGATATGCAGTTTTTCACGATGATTCCGAAAAACACATTCCGAAGGTTCCACGACGTTGTGGAGTCGAGATATCGCATGTTTTTCGGACTGTTGCGATTTTTTGGAAAAAATGGAGTCGCCTAATTTTTTTATTTTTTCTCAGTGAAAACGCGCACTAAAATTTTTTTAAAGAACGTATTCGTAATCAGCGCAAAATTCTGCGTCGAACGAGGTATATTTGAGCGAAAAATAAAATAGTGCTCGACGTTTGAATTTGGAGCACCTTATATATAACTCAATGTATTGTCGGCAATGATAAAGCACAGCCCTAGTCGATGAATACGAGCAGCATATTGTTAGTTACAATGAGATACAATACAGCAATATTACGACATCTTTACAGTACATTAACGACCATTTACGGTAATTGAAGTTGATCCGTAATGGTTGACTTGAGAGGTATAACAGTTCACAAAAAATGAACAAGACTTATCACTACTGCACACTCATCTCTCTCATTAAAAATCAAATACAATCATTGAAAATCCTGACTGTTCTTTGTAATATATAAAATAGAATCAATATAATTCATCAAAGGCGAATATGCCATTTCACAAAATAATTATTTTACATGCATAAATGAAAGAAGAAAAAGTAATATAATTAATATACCTCTATCATTTGTTGTATTTTATATTCGTATTAAAGATAATTCATTGATTCAATGTGATAGAATTTCATAGAATAATCAAATCAATAATTATATTTATTTTCAATCTGCAAAGTAAAAAGATAGACTCACTTGAAAAAAAAAAGAAAACAACTTAAAATATGTTGTAGATTTGTCTCTTAGATCTATGTATTTTTTGTAATTGTCAGTTATTCTTTTATTTTATTTTATTTTTTCTCTCTTGTAAAGTTAGTCTTGGCAACGGTGCTCGATCAGTAATACGATACTGCTTGAATCAACGAAAAAATACGGATAGAACAATGTACAAATTACTTTTTTTCCTTTTACAAAACAATTTTAACAGATGACGCTAGAAATCAATCAAAAAATGTATACATCATGCATTCTTTGTCAAATTTTGCATTAGTTTTCATAAGAAAAAAACTATTAAAATATAATTCCAAAAATCTTTTTCTTTGTGATTAACTACAAAATGAATTAAGGACTCAAAAGCTGACGATCGATGATTTAATGAAATGTAAAGTAAACTAAACGAAGAGACTCTGGCATATTCAATTATCATAGTCTCAAGATTGAAACCTTTTGGACAAGACTTTGAAGTTTATTGTTTCTCAGAAAATATAGTTTATTTCAATTCTTGCGAGATTACTAGATTTTCTATTCATCAAGAGTTACAAATCGATACGTAACATATATTTTATGGAAAGAAACAGTAAAAGAAAATTCAACTATGGTAGAGAAGTCATTTTCGTTCAAAGTAATACTATCGCGGCTCTTGTACGGTATTTTTGTAGTCTGGCAAAATGAATATAAAGTTTAAGACTGAGGCGAGTCATGATCGCGTTGTAATCACGTTATAACTGCAGGGTGTGACTTTGAGTGTCGGTATGTTCATCTCCTATTGAACAGCATTCACACCCTACACACTCACACTAAACCCAACTTAAATTCTAAATTATGGACTTGGTGCATCTCTAGTTAAGACGTGTCCTGAATCCAAAGAATAGTCTTTAGATGTATACTTTATTTTAACAAAACCATTTTTAAGAAAACCGAGAAAAAGACGTTTAGTAAGCGTCTGCGATTAGACGCGAAATACCTTGCTGTTCTAGTCTCATGAATGTAATGCGTTTTTGTATTCAAAAAGTATCTTGTTTATTTAAGTTAACAAAAAAAAGCGTTAAACAATTGAAACTGTAGTATCACTAAGAGTGTCAGCTTAGCATTAGTATTTAAAAAACGCTAATATTTTCATATTAGGACTAAACGTTTATTTTAATGCTTTGTATTAGTGTTAAAAAAAATGTAATACTTGTTTCCACCAGCATCAGTATTCAATAATACTAATGCAAATAAATCGCAATCTTTCAAATCGTTTTTACGTTCTCTTCCTTGTTGGGTTTTTCAAAAAAAAAATACCCAAATTTCATCATTTGGAAAAAACCTTGCTGAGTTCCCATTTCTAAGAATCAATCTTTTTCTTTTTTGAAAAACCTTTATTGTCATTTAAATAGAAAAATTTTCGAATAGTTTCTTTATGAAATTTATTCAATAGTGAAGCATTTCAACATCATCAACTAATATTCATATGGTATTTATGACGAAAATGACTAATAACAATTAATTAATTACATGTATTTATAATATTTGTCTATTCTATCTTTCTCTTTAGTAACAATGACGTAAATATTCTTTATCATTATCTAATACAAAAATATTCGCATGATTGCTTTCACATGGTAGATATTGGGATATACCTGAAGCTTAGTATATATCCCAATGACGCAATATCATGAGTAGATATCGAAATAAATGAATCGATCAATCATTCTTTGAAATAAATGAAAAAATTTCCACTCGTACTAATATTATTATGAAATACGTCAGACAATAAATCATTGTCATAGATTGAATGAGCCTATATAAATCAATCGAATTTAGAGAAAAGCATTGTTGGACCTATTGGTTTTTCAAATGACTTTGATCAATAATGATTCATATAAAATCGAAATTTTTACCAATGAATCGGTCTCATTTGAGCTTCTCAATGTTTTTTATTTTGAAAATTTGAAATCTTTATAATATTTTCCTACTAATGTTTATATTCTAGATATATTATTTATTACCTTTTTTCTATTTCAAAAAATTATATTTTCATTTATTTACTTAACAAAAAATCTAATTTTACATCTACCTAACATTGAACCTTCGTTCCATATTAATTATAATATACTAATGGTCGGTATCGATGCAAGAAATAAACATATTCTTGATACGAAATATATTTGTCCTGTGTGTTCATTGATACTGCGAGATCCTGTACAATTGGGAAAGTGTGGACATCGACAGTGTCAATCATGTTTTGACATTCAACAGGAGTAAGTTTTATTATTATGAACTTATAGCATCATTATTCTTCTGTTTTTAAAGAACAACCATTAAATGTCCACAATGTAGATCAGAAACATTACGAATCGAGGTAAGATATCTACTGATAATGGAAGAAAAATGACATTTCTTTTATGTAGATAATGCTTGATCGTGGCTTCAAAAATGACATGAAATTACTACCGATTGATTGTTCTTTTTGCCAATGGACTGATGTCTTAAATAATTATCAAGTAATTGATTTTATATTAATTTTATTTCTGAATTTTCGTCTATTATTCTCTTTCAAAGAAACATCTTGATCAATATCATTCAAATCCGAAATGTGTATTTTGTGACAAACAATTCAATTCAGTTAACAAATACAATGAACATAAAATTTCCCAATGTCAACAACTAATTGTTGATTGTATATTGAAAGATTTTGGTTGTAATGAACAAGTATCGATATTCTTTTGAGTGAAACTGACATATATAAAAATTCTTATTCTTAAGATTATCCGTGCCAAAATGACAGAACATTATTTAACTAAAAAACATCAACATTCTATACTCAAAGTTGTTCGTCAAATGTCTTTACAATTAAACGATACACAAATGGATATTGATCTTCCTCGAACAACAGCTGTAGAAACTTCTAATCCTGTCACAGTTCAATTACAAGAACTTTATGAAATGCTACAGATCTTAACAGATGGTATCGAAACATTGAACAAGGATCAACAACATCTAATGAATGAATTACTTCAACTTCAAATAACACATCCAGTCTTAACAGAACAATTATCGAATATTAAATTATCTGTTGAAGAAACAAATGTTTTTTTACAAGGAGTGAAACATAATCAAGATATTCTCAATCAAGATTTAGCATCATTGCAAGAAAAAATAAATGATTTGAAATATGTTTCATATGATGGAACATTTGTATGGAAAATTACAAATTTTCAAGAAAAATTGCGTATGTTAAACACTTACTCTTATATTGAACCATAAAAATAAAATGTTGTTTCGAAAAAATAAGATTTGATTTTTTTTGTTGATTTTCTAGTTGACGCACAATCTGAAAGACAAACATCAATTTATTCTCCACCATTTTATTCATCTCCAACTGGCTATAAAATGAGAGTTCGTTTGTATTTAAATGGCGATGGAAATGCTCGTCATACACATATGTCACTCTTTTTTGTGCTCATGCGAGGTTTAAACGATCCGATTCTAAAATATCCGTTCAACTATAAAGTTACATTTTGTTTGTATGATCAGACATCTGCACAACGACACATTATCGATTCATTTCGACCAGACATTCGATCAAATAGTTTTCAACGACCTCGATCGGATATGAACATAGCTAGTGGCTTACCAAAATTTTTCACCTTGGAAAATATTCAACGAGAAGGAAATCCATATGTACGAGACGATACAATGTTCATCAAAATTATGGTTGATTTTGAAGATATACCCAAAACATTATTGTCCTATGCTTTGAGTCTCAATCCCGGTCTACCAATACATGTTCAACACATAATGATCAAGCAAGAAGCAGAACAACGTTCTCAACAACGATCTGACAAATAATCGTGGATATCTCTGGAATAATCTACTGATCAATTTAAATCAAGGATTGAATCAATAATCAAGAGTAACTTGATCAAATTCACAACAATTGCATTTATAGATCGGATTTTATTTTAAGATTTTCCTATTTTTTTAACAATTAAGCAAAGCTTGTAAAACTTTTGTACATGATAATTTCATTTCTTTGTCGGATAACAAAAAACTTTTACTGAAAGCAGCTTTTTTCTTGCTTTACAAAAGTACCTATTCAGATAACTTTTTTCAACCATTAATGAATGACTTATATTTAATTGAGCAATAAAATAATTAATATGAGCAATAATTATATTGAATGAGCAATAGTTTATTTAAATTAAAGATAAATTTAACATAAAAAGGGCAATACGATTTCATTTATGTAAATTGTATGGTTTTTGCTGTTATGTGTTTACGTGAGTTCCATTTATTTCGTACACACTTGAAACGTGGTATATGAGAAAAAACGTAGAAAAAACAATGAGGTTGAGAAGACAATAGAATTTAATATTTGATCTTCCAGAGAAGAAAACATTGATATATGTTACATAAATATCAAAAGTGTTGGAAAAATCCCATATATTGTGTAAGATAATCATAAGAAAATTCTCAAGATGATTAATAGGACAATTCCAATAGTGAATGGGAAAACTCTTATGTTAAGAATTTATTTATACAAATACGTATTTTTTTCCATCTTATAAAATAAAATATATAATTTATATAAATGGTTCAATCACAACGCGTAGCGCAGCATATTTCTGATAGTGAAAGTGACAATGATATGGAGCTAGTCTCTTGATAACAGGGTGAAGGTAATGGTGCAAACTCCCACCGTAGTCAAAAGACGTGGATATTGATACTAAAAGAAAAGGAGGGAGGCCAGCTGAAGCAAGAAAAGCTTTATTGACACAATAATATATTAATTTTTCTTTTTTTATTATCAATTGTAAATAAAAATATCTTACTTTTCCTTTTTGTTGTTGCTAAAATATGAAATTACTACTGCTATTTAATCAATTAATTATTGTACATTTAATATTATAAAATTGCTCAAAAATTATTGCTATACCATATCTTAATTATGACTCATTCCAATATTTTTATTGCTCAAATAAATACTAGCCTATATCAATATATGATTAGAGATCGTTTTTCTTTAAATATTTTTTCATAGAATGATGAATCATGTTGTTGTTGGAATAATAAAAACTCCTAAGAGTTACAAATCGTTGAACTCGAGATAGCTCGCTTATCCTAATTTTGACTAAAGTGTTTTCAATTGTTTTTCATCATTCATATCAGTAGAAATGAAACTGATTGATTTTTAAACTAATTGTGCGCATATTCACTGTTAGAAATTATAGCTACATGTGTTGTCCAATATACTCATTAGTATACAGATTTTTCATATTGTAAAATAAAAATCATCATCAATTAATAAATAATAGAATGCTTTATAAGTTATTCCCTTAGCTCGAGCAAGATATCTATACTGAACCCAGTAATTTTTATGGTTCAGTCCCATTTGGTCGACAGGTCCTTAATTGGTCCCTTTTCGTCGACAGAATTTTTTTTCCCGTTTTGTCGACAAAAAAAAATTCCCTGTTCGTCGACAGAAATTTTTTTCCTGTTTCGTCGACAGAAATTTTTTTCCTGTTTGGTTGACAGAAATTTTCTTCCTGTTTCGTCGACAACTTTTCCTCTCTTTGATATAGCGCATTTTAATAATTAATAGATTGGTCGACTAGTTAAGAGACAGCTGATAAAGAATCACAAGAATCATCGTACAATTTTGATATTCGATCTAGGTACCTAAATACTGCACTTCTTTTATTTTTTGTATGACATCAGATGCAAAAAAATAGTACAAAAAATTATGATATTTTTCTTACTGGTGTCAAATTTTCATGTATCTATTCTTTTAAATGTGTTATAAACAATTTTTGTTGGACTTTTTGATCCTTTGGCTCATGATTGTGTTGAGTAGTTGCAACAAAAATTCGATCATCTTTTTGAGTAAAACGTCCTGGATATTTATTTCGATTCTTGCAATGCCATTAAGCATCGACATTACGAATACGATCACGTAAGTATCGACAGCCATTGAAAATTAAACATTTTTTACCTTTTCGAGTTTCAACTATTGTATATATTTTAATTCAAATATGTGGAATATTAGTAGAGATAGAAACAAAGAATATCCAAGTTATTGTGGTGGTTTGTTTTTTTTCATCATGATTCATCCACTTTATGTAATCGATATGATCTTCTCTAATAAAAGTTAATCATACTAGTCTTACTGATGTATCGTTATTCGATTACATCGATTATATTGTCACCTATAAAACACTAATAGTGATCTATATTTAAAATAACCTTCCACCTTTCAAAATAAGTGAATACTCGTTATGCAAGTGACTAGACTACCCTTAACTAGTCGACCAAATTATTAATTATTAAAATGCGGTGTATCAAAGAGAGGAAAAGTTGTCGATTAAACAGGAAGAAAATTTCTGTTGACAAAACGGGAAGAAAATTTTTGTCGACCAAACAGGATGAAAAATTCTGTCGACGAAAAGGGACCAATTAAGGACCTGTCGACCAAATGGGAGGATACCATTTTTATCTCCTGAAAAGTGAATATTTTATTCATATTTTACTCTTATTTAATTAGAAATTCACACAGATAAAATTTTAAAAATTGTATTTAAAATTTGGATAGTAACATTAGTATGAATTACACATACTATGTAATATCATCTTCATGCATGAGCGCGTACTATTTTCAATTTTAATATACTATTATCAATAGAAAAATATCATTTCGAAAAAGGATCAAATGAAAATATTCAAAATTGTTTCTCTTTACAGTAATAACTCTTCATCCGAAACTAATTTTGAAAAAACAAAATACATTATATTTCAAAAAGCCAAAGTCACAATAGTATTCTATGGTATTTATTTTAATTTCAAAATCAATATTTGTTTCAGTAGAATTGCATTTAGCACACCGATTGTCGATAGTAGTCCTATTCATGATAATTTTAGTCAAAATACAAACAGCTTTAAATGCTTTTTCCTCAAGTGCGGTCATCATCGTCAAGTTTTCTTATTTCTTTGGTTTTGACATGGACCGCTCAGTTATTCGATTATTTGATAGAAATATTCAAACACGTGAAAATCGACCATCAACAAACACTGTTGTTTTGAATACATACGACGAATATTCTAGGTTCAGATAAATATCGAGAATTAGAAAAGCAAAACAAACATTTATCATCTAAAATAACTAATTTAAAAGCTGCTTTGAACACTTGTACACAGACAAAAAAAAAGATAAAAACAACCCATGTGTAAATAATTCATAACATATCATATATTTGAGTGATCAGTTTTCTAGCAGGTTATTTTTTTAGAAAAAAAGAATTATACTGGCATTTTTGCATTTCATAGTATATAATTGCCACTTGTTGAAGTGACATAAGCAGAAGCTTTCAATCTCATCAATACAAAAACCAGCTAAAATGTGCTTAATTACTTCAGAAAAAAGCAGAATTAACGAGTGAATGTTATACTCAAGAAAATCCGTTACGAAAAGTAGGTGAAAAAAACGCGTAAAATACTAGTTGTAAACGGGTAAAAACGCGCAAATCCACAGAAAAATCTACATATTTTAATGTTTAGATATGGTAACGCGTTCAAGAAATCGTAAAAACGCCGTATTAACGGTGCACTATCGTTAAAACGCCGTTTTAACGAAATTCTAACGTGTTTTAACGCGTTTTTTTAAGAGTCTTGTCTGACTGGGAAGCGGAACAGATTGTCTTGTCAGATGAAAGTGTTTTCCATGTTGAAGAAAAATATTTAAGATCTCAATTAGATTCGTCAGTAAACTCTCAACGACGTCCTGGTTATTTGCATGGTTTACTCTAGTTGGAGTTAGGGTGTGGGTGTGTTGACAAAGTATTAAATCCACACCCATACCCACATCCTTTTTCTTGTTTTTTCCTCAAAAAGGTGTTATAGTGCTAAAATGTGGTATTGACTAACTTTTTATAGGAAGGGTATTAAGACCTAGAATTTTAGAGTTGATCGTTTTAGACATTCCTATGTTGAATAAGTGTACAAAGCGCTTGAAAAACAAATTTTATCGCGTGCTTCATATATTAGAGTGATACTCGATCGAGTCATGAAAGCTCTCTTAAATAATTAGGTATTTTTTCTGAACAGCTGCGACAGTTTATACATATTCAAACATCATGTAAATTGGTATGTTTTATAACACTAAAATGGTACTCTTGAATTTACACATCTATTTCATAGTTTATTTTATTCTCTGGATAAGGTGAAGGAATCGTTATAGTTTTCTTCTAAATATCTATGAAACAAGATGTAATCGTGCTTGTATTGCATTTTTATGTCGTTCATAAGTCTTCATGAAGTCTTGTTTGTATGATTTTGATGGTAGAACAAAGATAACGAAAGTAAGCATAGATGGTATAAATGAAATAAAATATCCAATCAAAAATAACCATGAATCATTAATTGATTTCATACAACGTGATATGAGAGAAATAATCAAACGTGGAATAGCTAACATCACGAAAACAATCGGAGTAATCAGTAGATGAACGTGTATTTGAAATTGTTGATGTAACACATTTTGATAGCTTTGATGAGGTCGAACAACTTGTCGCTGTCGACTAGTAATTTTAATAATGATCAAACCCGAAATCAAATTAATAATAGATGGAGTTAAAAAATGAAATATATTCACCACTGTATTAAACGTTTGAAAACTAGATGAATAAGTAACAATACACCAAATTCTTTTCTCATTATCATCATCATTATCATCATCTATTAAATGTCGATGAATAGGATCATGAATAGTCGTACTAATATTTAAAATTAGAAGAATAAGAATAATATATTTAGCTATTTGTTTACTTTTCTTCTTATCAAAACTGATTCCTTTTATTGCGATAACTGTTCGTTCTATAGCTATGCATGCAGACAACCATTGATCCATATTAAGACCGATTCTTAGTAAAAAATCTATTGAAGTACATTGTATTTGTAAAAATAAATGGTTAATACTATATGTCATTTGTGCAATGATAAGTATTGAAAATTTCAATGCAAACATAATCATTGTAAATAGACTAGTAATCGATGTACTTATTAGATAAATACCACAACCACTTTTACGTGATTGATTATTATTCATTGTAATCATCAGTAGAGCACTATTAACCAATCCTACTACAGTCATAATAATTGTCAATACTAGACTTAATTTTACAACAAATGTTTGATATCCAATGACAATATGTGGTTGAATGTGATAACCTAAAATTGCATCAAGTGAAAGACCAAATCCATTTGAACTAAATTGACAGCGTCTTCCATAAAAACATGTCAGACAAACACATGTCGACGTTTGTGGACATGTAGATCTATCTTGTAAACATTGTGCTCCATTTTCACAATTACTTTGACCAAAACAATCGAATTTTTTTATACAATTAAATTCAAAACAGTTAGCTACACGTTGTTGTCCATAATTGTTACATAAACAAAAATGATTATCATCATAAAAACAAGACAATTGTGGTGAATGTCCTTGACATGGCAAATGATAATATTTAATACGACGAAGAAGATGAAATTTAACAATTGTTTCATTCAATACTTCATTTAGATGTGGACAACGATCTGATGGTTGAATTTCTCGAACAAGAGTTGTCGATTGATGATATTTCTTTTGAATAGTAATTAAGTAGTAATTTTTATTGAAAAGTTGAATAAAAGCAATGTGAAATGGATATGACCAATGAATGATCATTGTCTTTTGATTAATAGAAATCATTTTGAAAGTACTGCCATTTGTAGATGGAGCATTATCAATTACTTGAATGAAATGAACAAGAAATGAATCTGATAAAATGATATCTCGATGAAATGATAGAATAATTTTATTATCAGCTATTTCACATCTGTCTCCAGTGAAACCTTTTTGACAGATACATTTGAATTTCTTGTTCGATACTACATGCTCATCTGTAGGCATACATTGACCACCATTGTAACATGTGATATTTTGATTAGAATGACATATTGTACTTCGTAATAAACATCGAGAGCCCCACTTATTCATAGGACAAACACATAAAGATCGGTTGTTTGCTAAGATACCAATACATAATGAGTCAGACGAACATGTGCAGTTATGTGGGATAGTACAATATCGTCCAGACCATCCTTGATAACATTGACAAAAGGTAATACCTTTCGGATTATCAGAATATTTAATACATTGACCATGAACACATGGTTGATTTGAGCAACGTTCTACATCATCAGTTGTGCGTGGAATATTGAGTTGTACAGCGACACGATGTACAGGTAGAAAAGGAAATTGAAGTGCTATGAAAAAACTTCGTCGATATGCGAGTGATACTTTTTCATAGATATCAATATGTATTGAATAATGTTTTTTCTGATCTTTTGGTCGAGTTGAGTATAGTAAATACATATTGAATTTAACTTTACAATCTCGTACGTACAAATAACTGAATTGTTGATGTGAATGAATGAGTCGTTCATCACTATCATCAATAAGTGAGACAACAACAGCAAATAGAGTTCGTCGAGAATCTGAATATGCTTGAAATTGTAACGTGAGACTAATACGTTGATTTTGATATTGACACATATCTCCATAGTAACTAGATGGACAAAGACATGTTTCAGTCGTTAAGTTCTCCTCATAATCTAGCCAAACTCTAACAACAAGACCACGATGACAATGTTGTTGATGTTGAATAACGCTTTGTTGAGTAATAGATGAATTTATTATTTTTGTGTTTTTTTTTCGTTATTTGTTCGATTGAGTTGTTAATTCTATCCAATGAAAAATATGTATAGGGTGATTTATCAAAATCGATTGGACGTTTACAAAAGAAATTTGCAATATCAGAACGAACAGTTATATATTTGTCATTACGTATAGTACAGTAGTTATTGTTGTTCAGAGTATTGTCACAAATTTTATCATAATCTTTGTAAGTACATTGTCTATTGAAACATACAGATACATAAGATGTACAATGTTCATATTCACCAGTGGTGCAATGAAAGTTAACATTGCTCAGTTCATGATTATTCGATCGACAGAGTTGTGGTTCATCAGTAGCACCAAGACAATCAATATTTCCATCATTGGCTTGTGTAAGAGGCAAACACATAAATTGGTATGTGTCAGGTGAGACACAGATGTGATGATGAAGTGGACATTTCAAAATAGGTGATTGATCACAATCGACTTCATCTGCTCCATTCAGACAATTCCAAAATCCATTACATCGAGTATAAGTGTTATTACACTGCCAATATTCACATTCAGTTTCATCGGTTTCATTTCGTCCATCTATAATAACAGGTATTAGTTCTGTAAAACCATCACAAATTATTGGAAATGAGATATGTTTTTTGATATAGTGAATATTTAGTTCTTCATCCTCACAGAAACCGTATTCATTATATCCGCAATCGCACCAACCATTTTCAATCGATGTCCAATGAATACAAAGATCTCTTGTAGTACATTTGAAAAGATTTTTTAATTCATATTTTGAACAAGAATCATTAGCCGAAGAACATTGTTCGTCATCGTTATAATCGCAATCGTTCATACCATCACAAAGGCGATGCTTAGAAATACATTTTGAAGAATTGACGCATCTATACATGTTCAAATTGTTACAATCTGTAGAACTACTGTGGACGACTGTGTTGCATCGATAAAGTTGTTCATATAGAGGTAAGACATAGATACTGTTCCAGTTGCCTCTATTGGATCCGAACGACTTAAAAATTAATGGAAAATCTATGGGACGACGACATATACCATTATTGAATGATAATAATGATTGATTTGAATGGAATCCACTGCAAAGTTTATCATTGTAACAGACATATTGAGGCGGTGGTACTCTCACATAAGATCTTAACATATTTTCTTTTGTATATAGAAAGTACATATGTCCAAAAGCAACGGGACTAGCTGGCACGTACAGCATATCGGGACATGTCGTGTTAATTATTTCTGTCCACGTTTTTTTGAAAGAAAGATCACGACATCTTAAATCAGATAATATATGTTGAATAGCCAACTGACACGTAACAGCTAACAAACAATCATTCGATACTGTGTTTGGTTTTTCAGAGAACATGAACAGTTCTAGTAATTTGGTGCGTGTCAACACACATGAACTTGTTAGCTTCACATTGAGAATTGAATGACGTCTAGAACATGTAATATCTTCCTTTGTAAATGTAGGCTCACCACTAATATCTATAAATAATAGTTGCTGAAACAACCTTTCGTCTGAACGATCGAGACATTCAAAAACATTAGGATCATCATGAAAAAATGTTTTAGGTATGCATTGTCCATTTAGGCATCGATCTTCATTATCTTCACATTCATTTATTTCCATTTGCCAACAAGATTCTTCATCGACTCCATTTTGACAATCGACGATACCATCACATATTTCACTCCAGTCCAGACATGCAAATATTGAACCACGATTGCATTGTAAATGAGTGTAACATGTTAATGTTGTTGGTTTATATTCGTGTCGATAAAATTCATGAATAATCTCGTTTAACGTTAAATGATGAGACTTGTAAGCATCTAATGAATATTGACACAATGGACCAAATCTGAATGATGTACAATTATAGAACATATGTGTTGCCATTGATGACGATAATATGTTTGACGTTAACAGTAGATTTAAATAAAATTGATAATGTTCAACAACATCCATTGGTGCCGACCAAAGATATAATTGTTCACTAGTAATATTTAGCTTGTTGAGTTCAGCAAAAGTAAAGTTTTGATCTTGATAAGTTGTTCGAATATTCCATTTTGAGGACCATTCACTCATACAATAAGAAATAATTTGATAAGGATCATTTTCTTCATCAATCCAAGCAGCAACATGAAGACAATTATGTTGTAGAACAATATTACTTTCGTTGTCATTTATTCCATCGGTGAGATCAAGATTAATTTGAGGAAATGCAACTATTTTATTTAATACAATGAAATAGAATACATAAATGATGAACAACATCGTCTAACTCTTTCGAGACACAATATGAATACAATATTTATTAAAAGTTCTGTTTTTTTCCTCCACATACGTTGATCTACAATATGTTTTTCTAACAAAGTATATAGTAAATATGAAATAAAGTAGTTTGTTCCTGCATTCTGTATAAGAGATTGCAATGTTATTTCGTCTGAAACATGATTATAGTAAATCATGGCTCCCATCTGCCATCATTTTGCCCGGAATTACATTAGAGATTTGAGTGTAACTAATGAAAATTTAACGACGCATTTATAATCTTAATTTTGTGTTAGTTACAAACACTTGGATAGATATTTTTCATGAGTCGTCCAAACTGTTCTATTCAACTCTCCTCTGTCAAATCCCAAGTGAGTCATTTGAAAAATATGAAATTTGGTGGGAATCCTTACAGAGCCATGAAAGGGTGAAGAAATGGAAAGAAGCTTTTTACATAAAATAAGATTGATTCGTATTTAGTCAATATTTGGAATTAGTTTATTTAACAGTCAATAATTGCAATATTTCGAACTCTTAAGTATGAAACACTTGCCTTTTTGCAACGGATTTGATAATCGAGAAAGTTTCCATTTATTCTTTTCGGTAATAAATAAAAATTATCTTCACGTAATGGTCATGAATTTTTTCTTAATTTAGAACAGCTCAAAATTCCTTAGTAGGATCAAAGAACAAAATAATAGACTTTATTTTGATTATTCCTATGAAAAAAGCAAAAATTTGTGACACTAAACAAAAAGTTTTCCCATTTTGATGAACCGAAGACCAACATCCAAGAGAAAAACACTTATAAAAGAACAGAAAAGTTCGCTAATAAAAAAAATAAATATCAGTTTGTTTCTCATGTATGTAATAGCATTATTGATTTACTTTAAAATCATTATATTCTCTCTTAGAGTGGGTGTGGCTGTACATTTGAATGAAGAGAAGATGCCCCCACCCACACCCTTAATCGCATTTTCATTTCTAAAGCGAATTGGCGTTATAATTTGATAGAGCATATGCGTATTTGCATTTTGAAAGATCGAACAGTGCTGAACATACCACATTGCCGAGATGACATTTATTATGGTAAAGATAAACAGGATTCGCTCAATGAAACAAGTTGTTCACTTAATCAGAAATATCACTTCAAATGTACAACTAAGAATGATGATATTAAGAAGGATATATATATGCATATCTACAATACTGCTTCAGAATAATAATGATAATTGCTGGAGTGTATCGACAAGTTACTATCAATTGATTGAGTACAAACTTTCTTTCGACTACATAAAAGTAAGAATTTCTTTCTCTTTTCATCATCTTCTACGAAATAAAACGGCGATCCAATGAGTTATGGCTATTAACTTTTACTTATTTGCATCAATACGATTTACTTTATTCATTCAGTAATCTAAATTTATGTTTTTAAAAACTAATTAAATCTTTTGCGAAGATTATTAATGTAAGTGATCTGTCATACAAATTATTTTCTCATTTTTATCAGTAAATGCTTCCTATTCCTGGCCATCACATTCATTATTTAATCGTAAAATGTGCACATCACCGGAACTTTTTTCAAGAGAATGACAAACTACTAAAACGAATGAACTTTTTAATGTCTATACTTAAAACAGTTTCTATCATTTAGTAGTCTTCATTTAAAATTGAGTGGTGATATAACACTATCACTAGCACCTATTACCTTCATGATATACATACCGTAAAAGGCTTTAATTTACATTTACCGAGAATAAAAAATTAACGTTGGAAAATTTAAAGACTACCAATGATATCTATTATTTATTTGAAATTATGTGTAATGCAGCAGAAATAAATTTATCTATAGATCAGTTTAATTAGCAACCATTGTTAAGTACATTTCTATTCAAAAAGTAATTAAAGTCACTCAAATTAGTTATTAATTGCATTGACAAATATGTTGCTGTTGGATTACATGAGATTTTAAAGACTAATTTACTATATCTAAGATCTTTTATTTGTTCAATGGAGATATTGTATTCATCAGCTTGTTCACTACTGACTACAGCCATAACTAAAGATTATCTAGCAATGATCGCTAGTGTGTTGCGTCCTAAAATGAGAGTACATTGGCTGAAAAACAAGCCAGTCAGTACTCTATCTGGATCAGCATGATAATCATAGTAAACTCTCATTATTGATTATACTCGCTGATACATTACTTCCAAATATTACGTAAAGTTTTGTTTAATCAGATATGGTACTTTATTCCAAACTACTATCAATTTCACCGAATCTAATACTACTAGATGTAACTCATTCCAATTCAATATAAACAATTGGTTTATTAAGCAAATTGCCTATACAAACGAAATGGATGGTCAAAAAATTAAAATGTAATAATTTTTAAAAAGAATGTATAAACGAATTTTATTCAAATTGTTGTTGTCGAAAAAGATGTCTTTTTTTTATTACAATTTGATGAAAATCTTACACAACAATTTTCAGTATAAAACAAAAAAAATGTATAAAATTAGAACCATTAATGAACATCCCATTTATTATCATAAAAATAGTCAAAGTTGCATAGGTCTGTATTCTGTTCAAGCCATTGACGTGTAATCAATGGGGGATTAGAATCATCGAGATTATCATGGTAATGAATCCATATGTCTGATAATGTCATAGTCATGTTGTTTAATAATCTTGAAAGTTTTCGAATACATTGACGATCAAATGCTAATCGCTCCAGTTGAATGAAGGAATACCAAAATACATCGATTTCGATTGATGATAATGATTTACGTGAATCACAAGAATTGCTGTTCATGGTAAGTTCAATGATTTGTGGCCAATGTTGATCAAAGAACACGATGAGGGTTGAGATATTCAAGCAAAGAGAACGTAGGCGTGGAATATTATGAAGAATTTGTACAAATTCTTTGCTTGACTTTTCTCTGTTCGATTCATCTTCAATGAAAGTAGTAATCCATGAGAAATCAATACAACGAATAATGTATTCAAATGATATGTCAAGATCTTCTTTCATGATTAACATACGGGTATGAGTGAACCGGTCTAAATGTATTTTTTTCATCGGTAAATGACTGTCAAAAACCAAACCTTTAGCATGTGGAAATGTCGTCGGCTCTAGTCCAGTTGATTTAGTCACCAATGTTTTTTCCATAAATCTTGATTAATGCTAATAGATTGTAAAGCATGGATTCGTATAAAGAAACGAATAAGTAGTATCAATCCATTGATCAAATGTGACATACCATTTCTTCTCTTCGAGCCAGAATCGAGTGCGAAAAGATTCAAGATTGACATCGTTTCTATTTAAAATTCTAAATAGAAACTGAAATAAGATTATTCTAGCCAACAATGGTATCCATGCATTGACATTAATCATATCACTTGTCACGTCAGAGATATGAAGAGTAAGACAAGTCATCGACGAGAGCAAGCATTTAATCTCGAGCATAGTTATATGATTGGTTCTGATCAATAATTCTTGTAAATTGAAAGATTGTTGAAAAATGATGTCGACGTGAAAAAATTGACTAATAATTAATACTACGTTGTGTTGACGTAACATTGGTGCAATAAGAAAAAATTTGATGCAAGTTAATCAGAATACCTGTTACTGTTAGACACTCAATAGTAGTTGATTGCATTGAATAAGATGATGAAATGTTTATTGTTTCAGACCGACAAAACAATGTATTGAGGAAAATTTGTTTTAATGATCATACAGTGAATTAGAAAATCGTGAAAAATGAGCGACATTAACGCTGGGTGTCGATCCGTTTGAATCATAAACATCATGGATGGACACTGATCTTAATGCTATGAATACTGGAAGTCAAATTCGAATCAAGTTCCAAACATTCGAATCGATCTCATCGAGAGTAATCGAATGTAAATTCAGAAAAGTGTTATGCATAGTAATCGAAGAAAAAAAACGGATGGTTTTTGCTCTTGTTATTCTGTTAAACTCATTGTCAAAGATCAATGAGACGATGCGAGCTGCCAGATTAGGTAAATGATTACAGACAAAATCGAATTGAAAACAAGAATAGATAAGAGAGATGGAATAAAGACGTCTGTTGACAAAACACATCGACAAAAGAATATCAACGATGGAGACATGATCAAGAATCTTTTCGATTAATTCAGTAGGTAAAACACTTTGATAGTGCGACATTTTCTGTGTATTCATTTGATGAATGTCGCTACTTAGGATTGCAACAAACAATGCCCGTCGAACTCGTCGCTTGAACCAGTCAGATAAATAAGACTGTTTCTTACTGTCTATAAGCACATTTCTTCAAAGCAAAGCAGACGATTTTTTTCTCGCAGGGTGTGGATGTGGGATGTAAGTGAATGGAAGACTTTGACCCACACTCTATTTTGATAGACTCACCTAGATATTCTATCATTCTATATTTCATTCTGTTTCTATTGAGGAACGATTGCATTGATTTTTCAAATAAACGTTAATTGGCTGTAAACGAGAACATTATTGAAAATTATAATTTTTGATATAAAATAGCAAGTTTAAGGGTTGGCCAAGTTTACGCATATATTTATGAGTAAAATAAAAGTAGATTCTTGGAATACAAAAAAACATTTAATAAAAAGTTGAACGATGTTGATACAAAAGTTGAAGCGTGATATAACCACTCAGTTTCAACAATCCTATGAATGGTTTTTATCTTAAACTATATCATTGCTCGGATTATAGTTCTGTTATTAATACTATTTAATTAGAATGAAACATTATCAAACAGAAAGCTTTTTAAAAAGTCAAGGTCATAACATGAATTAGAGAATACAGTTGATGAAACATGGGATAATCTATTAACAGGATTATTTTAAGATATTTTTGAAAAACTCAAAAGACACAAATGACGATTTCAAATAGAAGAAGTGTTAGTGTGAATGGAGCTATACTTTATTTAGCTTCTCGATATTATTAATCGCCGTGCTGTGGTATAAAAACACACTTATATATACAACAAGGAATGAGAAGAAAATGAAGATAGAACAAAAGAGCTACAGAGGAAAGGTAGTTGATGATACACATAGCTATGACAAAGGCAGGAAAAAGACTGTGATACGGAGAAATGACAAAGGAACGTTAAATATCATGTATGAACAGTCAATTGAAGCCAGCAGTAAAAGTAAACAACACAACACACTAAACCCGACCGAATACATTGCAATACATCAAGATTTGGTTTTCTTATTCTCAATGCGTTTATATTCTGTATTTCTTCCTTTATTGTTCACACATATCTACGTAAATTTGTCCTTTTCATAACGTTTAAGTTTTGTAAAAAAGAAAGCAAAAATTCAAAGTAATTTGGACGTTAATAGTTTTCATGTGCCTTGTCGTACTTTCTAATCGTATGAAACAGACATGATAAGAACAAAGAATGTGAAGGTGGTAACAAAAATAAACGTTGAAGTAATGCTTTCAACGCATACTGTTATCACGCTCCTTTGTTTTTGTTTTCTTTTTTACGTCAGAAGCTTCCAAATGAGCACATAAAAGCATCTGCAACTTATGAAGCATCAATCAGAATTGACATTAGTCACTGGATCATTATTATTTTATATTCTATTAAAAGAATTTCTATTGAAAAATGGGTTGTATTTGTGGTACGTTTGGACAATATACAGAAGCAGATATTGAAACGGAAATTGCAAATTTCACACCTCGTTTACCCGTAGCCGAACTTATGAACGGTGGAATTATCAAACTTCAAGGTGCTAATGGATTTTTCAATCCGAATTCTCTTCTTGATTCTACTTGGTTAAAATGTAAAATGACACCAGAAGAATATTACCAAGCAATCGATTATATCAACAAATGCACGGGTAAATCTCAAGTTGGCCTGAGTAAGGTATTTTCCGTATCCGAACGACCAATGCGTGCACAACTACGGAGTCAAGCTGGCTTAGCGGCAGTAGAAGAAATCAATAAACAATATCCATCAGTTCGTTTTACTTATCAACAAACAGCCCAAGATATGCAAATAAATACATCATATAGTACAGATCCTGCAATGCGTTTTGCACAACAACGCGGAAATACCATTGGTCATGCGTCAATAACAGTACTTTATATTTCTGTCAAATAAAATGTCTTCGATTCGATTTAGCTTAAAATACATTTCAAATATATTTGAGTAATTTATGAAAAGATCTATAAATTCATAATGAACATATGTACGAGGAATAGTTACATCCTATCATATATGTATTTTTTCACTATTGTCTTCGTGAACTGATCTTATTGTCCCATCTAAAAATAAATTATTGGGTGTATGTGTGGGTGAGGATGTCGATGTTCCCTAAGGCGAAAGTATTAAATTATTTTTTTTTTAACCTTAATACAAAAGTATTAAAATGAACACCAAACAAAGCAATGTTAAGCTAACCCGACATCCGTAGAACTCAATCTGATCGAATTTCTCAACCGGAGAAAAAGAATATCAAGAAGAGGATACACATTGAAGATAAAATATGATCTCATATAACTGGTACATATCATAACAAGCATATCTTATCAGAATTCTATTATTATGACATTAGTTGAAGATGTAGGAATTAAAATACCCCCGCTACAATATTTGAATTACCCTAAGCACTCTCTATATATGAGTAAACAATCTCAATTCACCCTTAACATTATCAATAGAAATGATAATAACACAATTAAAGTGGACAGCAAAAGTTTAAGGCACCGTTTATTTTTTTTATTCTCTTTGAGAAGATAAGAGAGAATAAGTATCGTTATATACATATATGTAGTCAGGATAGAGACCTATACGGTTCGTTAGTGTTCGATCAAGTTGATGTTAGTTGAGGATGTAAAGCTTGATACATTTTTTTCTCTATAGGAAAAAGTTTAAGACAATTTTAATATTGTTTTAATTCGATCGTTATTAAGAACAGAGCAAAATCTTTAAAATCTATACCGTCTGATGCAGAATTGAACGGACTATATTTTGGTATAAAAGTTATTTCTTAATGATTAATTTTAATAACTTAATACTAATCATTGATAGTTTTAACTAATTAATATAAATTTTCTTTTGGCTTTCAAATATATCGTTAGCAAGAGCATTGGCAACTGAACAAAACTGTATACTTTTTGTTCCACAATATTTGGTTTTCTTTTTCTTGAAAGAAACACAAAAATAGAAATATCTTTTAAACTTTTGTTGTCCACTTTAGATGAACTTTTGAAACAAATCTTCATATGAGGTACTCAGAAGCATAGCACAGCTATGTGATTTACACAATAAATACTTAGCAGTGCTTAAACATGAAGAAACTCACAGCGCTTTTAAGCGATTTAGATAATAAGCGCTTCATAGCACTTCCAAAACTATTGTTTAAGCTGCATTAAGTAACTTACTCAACAAAGCGGCTCTCAGCGGCTTACAAGACGAAAATATAAGCGCTTTTAAGCTGCTCATGGATTGTTTCAATATTATAATCCGCTTATAAATAGCTTATAGTGAAAAAAAATCGTTACATGGAGATTTTTGCTGTTGCAGCTGCGCAAGGTCTTCAATAACAAAAAAAATGAGTTCTTGACAATGTTGAGTATAGCGAGAATATACGTAGTAGTTCATCAATATTCTTGATTGATCTTGAGTATTCGTTTTCTAGCAAAATCGACGAAAACTTGTAAGATATATATACTCTGTGTCTCAAATGCTTAATGAAGATTACGGATTTTTCTTTTACTGATAATTTGGTCGAAATTGCGAAAAGTACAGCATATATATGATCGAATTCAAAATTATTCTTAAATTCAAATGAATCAAGGAACACTTAAAACAATGGTACAAAATCATTCAATTATAAGTTTTGGGAATTTTAAATTGCATAAATATACATTTTATAATAAGATGGGCAGCGAAAAGATCAACTATTATATTTTGATGAAGTCTATATTCATTTTACTAGTGTTATGTTCGTAATTATCATGACATCTTCAATGAAAAATATATTTCCATGTAAAAACGAACGTAACGTTTTCCATTGCTTTTGTGTAATTATAACTGTTGTTTTTATTAGTTTGTTGCTCTTGTTCGTTACTACATGTTAACCTATTCATTATATAGTTTTGACATTAATAATAATATTACACTTCATTATTTGAAA